AGTTCAGTTCTAGTTCAGTTCTAGTTCAGTTCTAGTTCAGCTCTAGTTCAGTTCTAGTTCAGTTCCATGTTCAGTTTCTGTTCTAGTTCCAGTTCAGTTCTAGTTCATTCAGTTTCTAGTTCATTTCTAGTTCAGTACTTTTTTTAGTGAAAAAAGTTTAAAAAAATTTAATATTCTAGTAAATTTTACAATCAATTTCGACATCAAAATTAGTTTTCATTCCATCACGTGAGTGATAATTCGGTCCCTGACTGTTATTTTAAATTGTTTTCAACATTTTAACTTACCAACTCTGCCACTTGCAGTTAGCGTAAAGCATGTGTAATAAAATAAAAGTACATGAAACTATTTTAATGTCAATGACCAAATTATGCCACAAAATATGTTTGGCATTTTATGCGTAGTCGAGACGACAGTGGCTGTAAATGTGGTTTTATTTTCACATTTGTTTATTGAGTTTACTTACTAACTGACCATATGGGTAAACTCATATATTATGAGAGAAAATATTAAACCAATTTGTAAATTGTTATTTAATAAAATGTAGTTGAATGTGGTTAAAAAAATATTTGCTGAAATACATAACTATGTTTAATAAAGATTAAAGATTTTTCCTGCAAGAACACGGTAATAATTTAATAATATTTATTAAAAATCAAATAATCATCAAAAATTCAAATATTCCAGCAAAAATTTTAAAATTAATTTTTAGGATTCGAGTATTTATTACAACATTTAATATACAGCAAAAATTCGAAAATTCTTAAAAATTTTAATATTTAAAAGATTTAAAAATTAACTAAAAAACATTTAAAATGATTTTTTTTATTAAAATTTGATAAAAGTTCATATTGAAAATACTGAAAAATTATTCAGATTGTAACTTTAGAAATTCTAATTCTTTGCTTTCAAAATCATTTGAAACTCATTACAATTCTATGATATTTTTAGAATTTTCAATTCAATTTAATTAAATTGCATTCAATATTGAATTGCCTTCATGTGTGAAATTGAATCGTGACTAGTTTTTAAAAAATGTTTTATTGAATTTTTGCATAAACATGAAAAATAACAAGTGTTTTTATCAGCATTTTTAAAAATAATTGCATTGAATACTATTAATCAACAATTTTAAACGAATAAGATATAGTAGTTCTCATTTCAACTAAAACAAATTTGCAAAACATGCATTACTTAATAAGTATGTATGTAATAGTGGCAAACAGGCAGTCATTTTTCAATATTTATTTTAAAATTTAAAAAATTGGAGCAAAACATTGCTTAAGCAAAAAATATAAACATTGTGCGTTTTACAAAGCAGATAATTTTTAGTAAAATTTTTAAAGAAAAGAAAAATCAAAATTTAGTTAGTGAAACTAAAAAAGATGTTTTAAATATTTCTCAAATTCCCAATTTAAATTTCATAGTATGACTAGTTTGAAAATGACTCCACATTCAAAGATAACTAACACCTTGTAAGAAAACTCCCTGTTCCACAAAACGCATTCATGCAGCATGAGTGTGTTTTATTTTTAAAGTTTTTTTTTTAAATTCTTTTTTATGACGACTGACTATTCGATTCTATTCAATTACAATAGTATTTATGAATTGAATTTTTTTAATGGAATTCATGAAACGTGAGTGCAACGCATAAGGGAAGAAAGAACTGTAGAAAATGCATATTAGTAATGCCTATTGAGCGATAAACTAAATGAACTTTTTCCACTGAATGGAATAGAGTTTTGTTTATATTTAATGACCTCATAATTTATTAAACAAAATAAGAAAAAGTATTTAGAACAGTAATTAAATAATAATATTTATTGGCATTCAATTTAATAAATATTTATTTTTGTGTGATTAAACAATAAAAATTGGAAAAAATTAAAGTTGATTTAAAAAAAAATTGAGAGCAAATTTGTTTAAATTATTAAAAATTTAAGAAATAAATAGAAGTTAAAAGGTATAAGTATTATGGATTTTGATTTGATGACAAAAAAACCTAAACCTTAGTTTTCATCCAAAATTCTAATACTTTTAAAAATTCTATCTTTTACACAAACTTCGGATATTCATTATAAATACAAATATTCATCAAATATTTGAATAAATCTTCACAAACACGAATATTTAAATTAATATGTATCATAATACGAATATTCATCCATATTGAATACTTATCCAAAATTCAAATATTCATGAAAAATGCAAATATTAAAAAAAAATCGAATATTCACGAAAAATTCGAACATTTGTCCAAAATTTTAATATTCACTGAACATTTTGAATATTTATCAAAAATGAATAAATGAATACTGAATTTGTAAAAATCGAAATTTTTACCCAAAATTTGAATATTTATCATTAAAACAAATATTCATCAGAAATTCAAATGTTCATCATTTTAATATTCATTAAATATTTATTGAATATTCATCTAAAATTTCTGTTCCTTAAAAATGCGAATATTCCTCAAAATCGAATACTCATCCCAGATTCGAATATTTATCAAAAATCCGAATATTTATTAAAAATTTAAATTTTCACCAAAAATTCGAACATCCATTAAAAATTTTAATATTCAATAAAATGTCGAATATTTATCAAAAATTCGAATATTCATCAAAATTTCGAAAATTTATCAAAAATTCGAATATTCATCAAAATTTCGAAAATTCATCAAAATTTCGAAAATTCATCAAAATTTTGAATATTCATAGAAATTTCGTACATTCATAAAAATTTCGAATATTCATCAAAATTTCGAATATTCATTAAAATTTCGAATTTTCATGAAAATTTCGAATATTCATCAAAAAATTCAAATATTCAATAAAAATTCGAATATTCACTAAAAATTCGAACATTCGTCCAAAATTTTAATATTCACTGAAAATCTCGAATATATATCAAAAATAAAAACATTCACAATATTTGTAAAAATTGGAACTTTTACCCAAAATTTGAATATTTATCATTAGTACGAATATTCATAAGAAATTCAAATGTTCATCAAAACATTCAAAAAATTCGAATAATCACAAAAATTCAAATATGTCTTCATGATAATTTCGAATATTCATCAAAAATTACTGTTAAAAAAAAATTGCGAATATTTATCAAAATCGAATACATACTTATCCAAGAATATTCATCAAAGATCCAAATATTTTTTCAAAATTTCAAATTTTCAAAGTCTATTATTCACCTAATTATCGAATATTTATCCGAAATTCATTAAATATTCATCGAATATTAATCAAAATTTTTAATATTCAAAGAAATTTCGACTATTCATCAAAATTTCCAATATTCATTAAAAAATTCGTCCGTTCATCGAAAATGCGAATATTCATTTAAAGTTCGAATGCTTATCAATAATCCAAATATTCATTAAAAATTGGAATATTCATCAAAAATTTTAACATCCATCCAAAATTCGATTATTCAGACATAATTCAAACATTCATCCAAAATATGAATATTCATAAAAAGATCGAATATTCATCAACAATTTTTCAAAATTTGAATAAAATTAAAAATTTTAATATTTGTATAAATTTTGAATATTCGACAAAAATTCGCAGTTCACAAACAATTTTAAGTATTTAGTAAATAATCATTAAAAACTTTTTTTGATGATATTTTAATAATCAATTACATTTTTGAATAAAAAGTCGTCAATAAAAATTCCTTTGCTAATTACGAATCCATCAAATATTGAATAATAATAATTTCAATTTGAAACTTCTTTCATAATTCCACTTACACAGATCACTTAGCATTATTAGCTTATCCAATATATTGCTCATCTCTTTGAACCATAATATAAACGAAAAGAAGAAAAAAAAACATGTGTAATTTATGAGTTTTTTTTCTGAAATATCTACCAAATGAATGTTTTATATCGTAAAATATAAAATAATACAAACAAAACATTACCAATAAAATATTAAAACAAACAGAAGAAAATCTATTGGAAAGAGATATTACAAAAATTCAATAAATTTATCACTAAATAAATTCTTTTGTGGATAAGTGGATAAACAAATAGACAAGACGTTCAATGCCCTTCATTATAATGATGGTTCATTCTTAAAGAATGAACAAATGAAATTTGAAATGTTATATTTCCGAATTTAATAGAAAATATTTTACATTACTATAAATTTCAACAAATTCCCTAGAAATACATACAAAAATACTATAGTGTAACTAACCTTGACCGCTTTTAGTATACATATTTAAATATGTAAGTTTATTCTATTCCAAACAACACATTTTTGTATAAAACAGAATAGTATTCTATTCTATTATGTCTGTCTGTCTATTTATTATATTTTACCACAAAAATTATTTTCCAAATTTGTTTTGAACATGTAAATATATTATTTTTTGGCGTTTTTTGTTTGTTTGGGTTTTTTTATTTGTGTTTAGATTTTGTAATACCCACATTTCGATGAGGTCAATGCAAAAGTTTGTTTTCTTATTTTGTTAATCCAATTTTTAGCTAATAAATATTTTGTCATTAATTTTCTTGACCACTCCAATATGTAGAAGAGACACAATTCCTTAGCCCCTCCTTTAAGTTTATTTTTTGTTTGTTTTCTTATAGTTTTGTCAGGGGGCCCATTAAAGGGACCCACCTGTTTTACTTTGTTTAATTTATTACTTGGCCATAACAAATTTATGACTTTTGTTTCGCACATTAATCGTATATAATTTAAAACTAGAACAATCAGAAACTTAAATAAACTCTAATAAAAAAAGATTATAATTTTCTTAAATTCATTCAACAACAATTCAAATATTTTAAAAAATTCTAATATTCATTATATTTTAATAATTTTCAAAAATTTGAATATTATCCAAAAATTTTAAAACTTTAGCTAAAAATATACATATTTTACATAAAAACTACTTTAAAATTATTCATATAGTTTTGTAATATTTAAAAATAGAACTAAACTAATATTTCTTTCCCTTTTTTATATTTTTAGAATAAACCCCTCGTTGTGGAACCTATAGACTTTGAAAGCTTCATCTCCAAAAACAAAACTCTAATACAAAATGATCCCCAAAGAGAATTACTTATATATCCAAGTGATGATGTATCGGTAAGTAACAATTTATAAATCTGATAAAAAGTACTTAACAACTACCTTTCCTAAGAAAAAGTACTATATATGTATAATAATCTTGCAAAATATTTCCATAATTAGATGATTTACTAAGTAAAATTTTATTCATTGCAGGAAAAAATCTTACCCCGTAAAGTACGCACAAAATCCAAATCCATAACAGATCGCTTTGAACCTCCCAATGAATCAATCGTAAGTCCCTTGCATGGTGGATCAACATCCACCAATGGATCACATAATGTAACACGACAGAATAGCAGTGCTTCCAATAGTCCGCGTTTAACGCAACGTCAATTGAGTAGTCAATCCACAACTTCTAATGGTTCCATACAACAACAGCAACAACAAAATGGTGGTAACATTTCACGTAAATGTTCACAAACCTCAGCGCCACAACTTAATTCCATTAAGTCACCTACCTCATCATTGGAATCATACGAATCGGCGCTTTCCACAACAAATGGCACAACTAAATCCATATCTTCCTCATCATCATCAACACTCAAATCAAGTAATTTAGCACAACCCGAAGAAGATGATGATTTAGATACCATAGGTGATTCGTTGACAAATAATGGTGTTGGTCCTCCGGCAAAGCCAAAATTTGAATGTTCACGTTTTACGCGACAAGCCTTGTATACGTATCGGGCTAAAAATCATTTAATACATTATAAATATCATGAATATGGTGGAACTTGTCATGATCTGCCAAAGTATGTTTCCAGACTAAAATCTGTTTCTGACAAAATTTATTTATTTAATACTTTATTTACAGAAAAACTTCCTCAGAAGTTTTAAGAGAAGAAGTCTATGAAATTGATGCCGATCAAGATCGCATCGATGAGCAAATGTCTCGTTCTCAGGCTGATTCCATTACTAAACAAGGTTATTTACTAAAAGGTCCGGACTCGGGTTCAGATCGTATGTTTGCCAATATTGGCAACAAATCATTCAAAAGAAGGTAAGTTTGTTATTGGAAAAGTGTTTTAAATTTAATATTTAATGAATTTTTCCAGATATTGTTATTTACGCCAGGAAGTAGATGGTACTTATATATTAGAACTACACAAGGATGAAAAACAAGGAGAGGCTAAGGCCACTATAGTCATGGACTTTTGCACTGAAGTTGTACAGGTGAGTGTGAAAATTTAGAACTTTAAATTAATCATCTAGCGGATTTATAAAGATTTCACTCTTAGTAAATTTCAATAGAAATTATGCAGAATATTTTATTATTATTTTTTTACAGAATCCCAAACGTAGTCGCTATTGTTTTGAACTACGCATGACTGCCGGTCATAAATCCTTTACATTAGCTGCCGAAAATGAAGAAGATCTCAAGGACTGGTTAAGTAAACTCTCGTTAGTATTGCAACAGAACAAAATCCAAGAAGATAAACGAGTAGCATCACTCGAAAGAACACCTCCTCCAAGTCCCAATACTGTGATGTTTGGTACCCTTAAGGGTCTTGATCAATCTATGAATCCACAATTAATCAAATATGGGAGAGAAACTGATATTTCCATAGCACAGGCAAGACGAGAAAATAGACGAAGACTTTTTGCCAATTACCAATCGAGTTCGAAAGCAACACCAGCCGATAATGTCGACCAATATAAAGAACAATTTGGCAAACGTATATTCCTTAGTTGTCAAAGTCTAAAATTCCGCCTTCAATGTCCTTCCGATAGTCAAAGTTCGACCGATGGCAGTCATGTCTGTCAGGTTGAACCCTATATAACTAGTCTGGCTCTGTATGATGTACGCGCAGGACGCAAACTTACAGAATCATTTTACTTCAATATTAACGATGAGCATGTGCGTGATATGTTACCCTCCACACCCGTGCCACATTCGGTGGCCGCTGCAAATGTTCCCAAAAAAGATGTGCATGATGAACGTACACGTAGTACTTCACAAGCCTATAGTACGCTTATAGAAAATCTTTCGACAGAATTACAGAGATTCAACAAGGAACAGTTTTCTCAATTAAAACAGGCTTTATTTTCAGTTACCTCGCCTCATCCTGATATATTTCTGGTGCTAAAAATAGAGAAAATCTTGCAAGGAAATATTGTGCAGGCTGTGGAACCCTACTTAAAAGCCAATAGAGATCCCAGATTTGCTCAAAAACTACACAAGAATATACGTAATTATGCCCAGAATATTGGCCATTATAGACAACCATTTGCCTGGGCAGCCAAACCTCTATTCCGTTCATACAGCAATGAATTGGATACCGAAAAAGATGGTGAATTTGAATTTAATACCATCTATCGACAAGAAGTAAATAAACTCAAAGATGAAGAGTTATTGAAATTATTAGCCGAATATCGAAAACCAGATAAATTAAGTAAATTGACGGTTATACCGGGACAATTGAAATTAATGATTGAGGAGGTGGAAAAGGTGGAAGGTAAGTTTAATTTGTTTTTTATATTTAAATATGTAATGCTAACTTTTTTTTAATAATTATGTAGGCTCATTTACCAAATCATTAGTACCTTTGGTTAACTACACTTGTCCACCCAACAAACCAATTACTTTAGAAATAACCGAATTCCAAAGTACTTCCAAACGAGATTGTCATCCATTTACAACATTTTGTAATCATTTATTTGTCTATCCCTTAAACCTACAATTCGATAGTCAGAAAATATTCTCCCGAGCTCGTAATATAACAGTTGTGGTAGAATTAAGAGATTCGGATCATGAAAATTCTAAGCCATTGAAGGTATGTTATAGCAAGAGCTCTTAAAACTAATTAAATTTTGTCACTGATTATTTAATGTTTTTCCTTTATTTTAGTGCATATATGGCCGTCCGGGTCAAGATTTTCTAGTCTCCCAAATAGCCTGTCCCGTTTTGCATCACAACACCACTCCCTTGTGGTATGAAGAATTAAAATTACGTTTACCTTTGGGTATATTCCCCGAACATCATCTTCTGTTTTCTTTTTATCATGTTTCTTGTAATCTGGGCAAAAAACGTGATGCTAATGCTTCGTTCGAAACACCCATCGGTTATGCCTGGCTGCCGTTGTTGCAAAAAGGTAAAATAAATTTGGATGAACAAGTCATTGCAGTAGCAGCCACTTTGCCTGTCGGGTATTTAAGCATTCAGCCCTTGGGTTTGGGCAAAGGGGTAAGTACAATTTTATTAGTTTGTTTTCAAGGTCAAAAAGACGAACTTGCTTAGAACAGAACTAGAACTGAACTAGAACTGAACTAGAACTGAACTAGAACTGAACTAGAACTGAACTAGAACTGAACTAGAACTGAACTAGAACTGAACTAGAACTGAACTAGAACTGAACTAGAACTGAACTAGAACTGAACTAAATAAATTAAGCAAGTAAGCGAACGGACTCAATGATTTAATTTATTAAAGATACATTCAAAAAATATATTTTTTTTATGTATTTGTTAAATTTAAATAAAAAAATATAAAAAAATCATTGTTTGACCCCGACGTGATTTGAACACGCAACCTTCTGATCTGGAGTCAGACGCGCTACCGTTGCGCCACGGAGTCATATAAATGTTTGCCACTTAACATTACATTTATAGTAATAACATTGTTTGTGTGTACTTGTCATTTCATAAAACTTTCGTTAACATTTCATTGTTATATTTATACATTTAACATTTTATGTTATTAACAGTTATAACTTTTACAGTTTGAAAATCACTGCAAGTTGAACAGTTTGAGGGTTACTGTAAATGACAGAACTAACAGTAAAATGTTTACAGTAACAATTTAAAGAATAGTGTTGCCAGTTGAAAATAATTTGTTTCTAACATTTTTGCATATTAAAAAAATTTAAAATTTATAAAAATAACAATATTTACATACAAAACAGAAAATTTTTTAATTAAATTTAAATTAAAGTGTATTAAATTAAACAATAATTCAATGCAAATGAATATTTATAATTATTTAATTTTTTTTTGATACAAAAAACTTTCTTTCATTTTACAATCATAATTTTATGTTTTTTACATTTATTTTTATAAAACACATTTTGTTTATTTACAAACGTTTTCTAACTGTTTTTGTTTTTTTCATCTTCACATCTCTTTTTTATTTTCCATGGATGGGGTCATCATAACCTTATCATACCAAACATTTTTCAACACTACAAAAACATCATTGTCTGTCTGTCCACTACTACTACTCCTCATCATGATCACACTCTACACACTGTTTCTTTGTTACTTTTACACACTTTATCCTGTCTATACTATTTTCGGCTATCTACAAAAAATACCCTATTTTTAGCAGAATTGTGGGCCAGATATACAATGGATCGATAACCAAAGACCACTGTTTGGAGTGGCCCTGCGTATGGACTCTACAGTACACACAGCCGATCAACATTTACACAATTTATTTGCTCATTCCGAACGTCTGTTGGAAGGTGGTAAAACTTCGGCTATGCCAGCTGAAACGGAAACTTGTAAAATTCTAAAAGCAGCTCATGCTATTGATATTACCACCCTTATTAACTATTTGCCTACTATACTAAATGAACTCTTTACCTTGTTGGTGCACACACAATCCGAAGAAGTGGGCTTGAATATTATACGTTTGCTGATAAACATTATACACATGATCACAGAGGAGGCTGGGCGCAAGGAGTTGTTAACTTCTTATGTAACGTATGTTTTCCATGCTCCCTATTATTCCCAAAAGATATCACGTACTGTACATGGTGAATTATGCAAACATTTGCCTTCTATTCTACATCCCAATAATACCGACTTTTTGGTGGTCAATAAGTTTATGCGTTACTCGGGCATATTCTTTGATTTAATTGTAAAAAGTATGTCGCAACATCTTTTGGATACTGGAAGGATACGCATGTTGAGAAATGAAAGATTTCCCAAAGAATTCCCCGAACGCTTGGAGAATCTTATTAAGGTCTTGATACCCTATTTGATATCTCGCTATAAAGATTTACCCGTGGAAACTCAACATCTTAATAAGTCTTTATCACAGTTTGTGCGTAGAGCTTTAACATTTATGGATCGTGGTTTTGTTTTTAAACTAATACGCTACTACATGGAACAATTTTCTCCCGGCGATCCTCGTGTTTTGCAGGAGTTTAAATTTAATTTCCTACAAGAAATTTGTCAACATGAACATTATGTGCCCTTTAACTTGCCATTTGTTTTGAATCCCAAAAATCGTCCTCCCGAAATGATGCAACATTTTAATTTAACCGAGGATTTCTGCAGACAACATTTCCTATCGGGCTTATTGCTACAAGAACTGAAGAGTAGTTTAAATGAAGTGGGCAATGTTAGAAAACATGCCTTGATGGTGTTGAAGAACCTATTGGCCAAACATGAATTGGATGATCGTTATCAGAATAAGGGTCAACTATCGAGAATTGCTTTATTGTATGTACCCTGGTTAGGTATAGTAATGGATAATATACAAAGAATCGATGATCTCTCAGAGGTGACCACACCCAATGGTCATGTTTATGCCGACTCAGCTTCCTATACCCAAAGGCTTTCCTGTTCCAGTAGTTATGTTTTTGGTAAAGATTCCACTCTGAATTCCAACACCTCTACTCCTAGAGGCAAAAATAGAGCTACATTACATATAGAACATCCTAGTCCAGTAAGAGCTTCGGTACATCTTAAGGAAACCAATTACTTGGCAGCCATAGCTGGTACTGTCATCACCAATGGCTGTTCAGATTCTTCTCTTAACTCTTTAACATCCGATTCACAAAACTCTCAAGATACCACCTTGGGAGCTAATGGTAACCATATAGAAAATATGGATGTGGCTTTAAGAAATGGTCACAATCGTTCCATAAGTGTAACTCATGCCACCGTCATGCAAAGATGTGATAAATTCTCAGCGGCTGAAAGCAAAGATCTCCTATTGGGCTTCCTGTTTGTCATCAAACATCTATCGCAAGAACAAATGATTGGATGGTGGCAAAATTGCAATGAAACCGAAACTATTAACTTTATGACTATTTTGGAATTGTGTCTCATACAATTTCGTTATGTGGGTAAGAAAAATTTACATTTAAATGAAGAATCCAGAGATGCTCGAGCCTTAAGAGCAGCCAAAGCCAGTACTCTACCAGCCAGAACATCACCAGCAGCTTTGGAAAACTCCCCTAATTTAAATGAAACAGGCACCTTAAATTTAACACACAATCGAGAGAATTTATTAAGTGAAACCACTAGAAGTCAACAGGCTTTATATGAATCAAATCTGGCCACTGAAGTGGGCATGATCATCTTGGATTGTTTGGGTTTATTTGCTGTACAATTTAAACTTAAACTCATAGACAGTCTTATATTACCCAAATTGGCGCGTGTTTATCTCAAGTTTCTGCAACTGGGTCAATCGGAAAATCTCTCCAAACATGTTTTTGCTGCTCTGCGTGCTTTCATCAACAACTTTTCGCCGGCTCTCTTTAAAGGCAATGCCATATTGTGCGGTCAAATGGTATACGAACTACTAAAGGCGTGTGACAGTCGTCTAGTGCAAATTAGACATGAATCCTGTGCCGTTCTTTATCTACTAATGCGTAGTAATTTCGAATTTAGCGGCCGTAAAGGTTTAACGCGGGTACATTTACAGGTCATCATTTCGGTGTCACAAATGATTGGCAATGTAATTGGTCTGAATAATGCACGTTTTCAAGAGAGTTTATCGGTCATCAATAGTTATGCGAATAGTGATAAGGCTATGAAGGGTACCGGTTTCCCAGTAGAGGTCAAAGATCTTACACGTCGGGTGCGGACTGTTTTAATGGCTACAGCTCAAATGCAGGCTCACCATATGGATCCAGAGCGCTTGCTAGAGTTACAATATTCTCTAGCCAATTCCTATGCCTCTACACCAGAACTAAGACACACCTGGCTGGTGACTATGGCTCGTAATCATGAACAGAATGGTAATATTTCCGAAGCAGCCTGTTGTCATCTGCACATAGCCGCTTTAATGTCCGAATATCTACGTTTAAAGGGAGGCTGCAGCATTAATTGGGGCTCTTTGGCTTTTAGCAAAATTTCACGCAATATTAATCGTGATGAACAAGGTCTCAAATTGGATGCTGGTTCTCAGGACTCTCAATATACCGAACAAATGCTATTGGAACAATTAAAACAATGTGCAGTATTTTTGGATTCAGCCGAACGTTATGAATGTTTGGGTGAATTATACAAGTTGATATTGCCTATTTATGAGAGAACTAGGAATTACAATGATCTACAAGAATCCTATGAACATTTAGCCAAGGCTTATAGTAAAATTATTGAGGTGAATCGTTCTGGCAAGCGCATGTTGGGTAGATTTTATCGTGTTGTTTTCTATGGAATGGTGAGTTGTTTGTAATAAAATGTTGCTTGGATTTTCGTTAGTTTTAAATAATTGTTTTAAATTTTAGGTTTATTTCGAAGAAGATCATGCTGTGGAATATGTTTATAAGGAACCTAAATTAACTTCTTTGAGTGAGATTTCCGAACGTTTGTCAAAGCAGTACAAGGAGAAATTTGGTGCCGATGTTGTGAAATTAATAATGGATTCATCGCCGGTAAGTTGAAATAATGAGAGATTTTAACATTTTCTTAAACTCTCAAAATAATTTAAAGATTAAAATATTAGAATTTATTTTTGAAAGATCGAAGTTATGTTCGAAATTGTTTAATCTCAAGATTTTGATAGTTCGTTAAAAAATCGATATATTGATCTTATGTTCGATTTTGAGAATTCTCGAAAAATTTTCAAAAATTCGAAAATAAGTTCGAAACAAGTTTTTAAATAAACTTATTTAAATTTGTTATTATCTTTATTTAAAATATTCAAATATTCAAAACTCTTGTAAAAAATCTTACCGCCAAATAACATCTCAATATTTTATTTAAATAAAAAGTCCGACATTTTAATAGTATCAAGATCAAAAAATAAATTTCGACGCTAAACAAACGAAATGATAAAAAACAAAATTGACAAATATGTTCTTACTAAGGAAAACAATAATTGTCTCAAGTTCAGCTTACTTTTTGGGTTTCCGTTTTACGCAATTTCGAAGATACCGTAGCTCTGGGTGATTTTAAAGGACAATCTTTTGTTTTAGGAGTTTGCATAGATTTTATTCGACTACTTTGCGTAGAAGATCTAAAATAAGCAGAAGTTTTGAAAATTTTTTTTTAAGTTTTTGCTATTTTATATTATACCTGGTAGAGGTTGAACTTTTGTCGGTGAAACTGGAAGATCTATTTGATATGGAGTCATTGTTTTTGCTAGTTCTCCTTTCATTTGTACTAGGTTGGATTGCAGGTTTCTTTGTGCATAAACTTGATTGTTTTAAATCTGTTGTTGTTTTTGTTATTAAATTATTTTTCATAGTTTTGGATATTTTGGAGTTTTGAGAAATTGCTGCTGGTGCTTTTAGTTTAGTTTCTTTGTTTGTACTTAGTTTTTTGGATTCTTTAACTTGATATTGCTGAGCTGTTGATACATTAGTTTTTCCAATAGCTTGTGTTTTTGAAACATTATCATGGTTTTGTTGAGATGTTGTTACGTTTGTTTTACCAACTGTTCCTGTTTTTGTTAAATTTAATTTTGTTTTAGGGTCTTTTATATTCAAAATTTTGTCATTAGCTTGTAACTTATGTTTGTTGCCAGGTGTAGTAACATTTGTTCTAATGGAATCTTTTATAATTGGACAAACTTTTGTTTTATTTCCACATATACCTTTTAAATTTTCTTTTAGCACTAGTTTCTCAATTTTCAAACTTTGAGGTTTAATATCAGGCTTACTTTCAGGGTTTTCTGCTAAGCTTTTATATTCCTGAAGATGTTCTTGATTTTCCATAACATGCGCTTGATTAACATCACATACATTGTGGTTATCATCGCTGCATTTTGAAATATGTTCAATTAAACCCGATTTATTTTCATGATTTAAATTTTTTAACTCAACTCCTCTTTCATCTTTAGTTTCCTCTAATACATTTTCAGTTCTGCAATCATCTTCTGATATCGATTTTTCAGTTTCTGAACTTGAATCTTTAACTCTAGAAGAACTAGCAAATAATGTTAACAATTGATTTTTTTCAATATCATTATTGAATTTTTCTATTTCTTCGATATCTGCCATATCTCTTATATTATTAGTTTCGATACTTCTATATTCCTGTATTAATTCCATTTCATTTCTTAAAAGTTCATCCTTTTTAAAGCTTTTCTCTTGGATTAATTTATCTTCTATGGCTTCTTTTAAAACCGATTTTCTCAGATCTTCATTTAATAGAATTTGTGGCTTATTTCGCTTATAGGAGGGTATAAATTCTAAAGCATTTGGATTTAAATTTGATTCAATCATATGTCCCTTAACACGCACAATAATATTTTTGGGTTCTTTAGACTTGTCACTGGTTTCATTTTGTTTTGCAGGGGTTTCAGAGGATAACAATGGTTTCTGCAAAACTTGATCACCAGACATGGCTTGTTTTTGGGAAAACTTTTTGTTTTTATTTGTTAGGTACTTATTTGAAACTTTTTTTCGAATATCGGCGGTAAATAAAATTAACAAAAATATAAAATTTTTCCAAACATTTGAAAATATATGAAATATTTTAAAAAGCAAAATTGTCATTCTTATTGCAGTGATGCCAACTAAAGTTGTAATTTAAAAGTATTGCCTAATGATGGAAAGTTTTTATTACAAAATTGAAAGTGGAAATTTTTGGGCAGATTTTGTTTAAGAATTTTCTTTAAAAACCAATAAATTTTTTTAGATTATATCAGCACATTACATATTCTGTTAAAAATCTATTCATAATTTTGTAAAGAATTTAAATCTAATTGTCCTTTATCATATTCTTTTGAAGGTTAATGTTAATGAACTCGATCCCAAATTGGCCTATATACAAGTAACACATGTGATACCATTCTTTACCAAAGATGAACTCGATCAAAGACTTAATGAGTTTGAACAAAATCATGATGTTGATACATTTATGTATGAAACACCATTCACTAAATCGGGAGCAGCCAGAGGTGCAGTCGAGGAACAATGGAAACGTAAAACCGTGATAAAAAGTAATTAAACTTAATTGATTACCTACAAAATAAATTAAAAACTAATTAAACAATATTTTAGCAACTTATTCCTTTCCCTATGTGTTAAAACGTATACCAGTTAAATCCAGAGAAATTATAGAATTAAGTCCCATAGAGGTGGCCATAGATGAAATGCAAACCAAAGTAACAGAATTAGAAGAAACCATACTACCACCAGCCGATGTTAAGAAACTACAGCTTAGACTGCAAGGCAGTGTGGCTGTGCAAGTAAATGCTGGTCCTTTGGCTTATGCTCAAGCCTTTTTGGATCCCAAAGTCGTAAATAATTTCTCAGTAGATAGAGTAGAGGACTTAAAAGATGTTTTCAGGTTTGTAACTCATATTGTAAAACTTATTTTCAACTTTTAATAATTTTATTTCCTTTCAACAGAGATTTCATAGGTGTTTGTCATACCGCTCTACAACTAAATGCCCGCATGATTTGCAGCGATCAAAAGGAATACCACAATGCTTTAAAGGAAAACTATCAGAAGCTTTGTCAGGCCTTAAGCGAATTGTTAGATGAACCTTTCCAACCTTTAGATGATAGTGCCAATGCAACACAACGCAATAGCATGGCCTTATTTAATGCCATTAGTGGAGCTTCAAATAATTCAAGTACTGCCTAAAATTAATGTCAACAACAAAACGTTTTCAACTTATTCGTACTTCCCCTCTATAACTATATTCTACTTAGTAGATAAAGAAATTAAGAAAACAAAAAAATATCCCTAAATTAAAAAAAAAAACATATATCTTTCAAACGTAGTTTGTGTGTTACCTATCATCAATATACATATATGTATGTCTGTCTCTCACTCTCACTCACTCTCTGTGTCTGTATCTAACAATATGTTACTAACAACAACATTTTTTTACAATTTAGTATAATCACGAATTTATAACCATTTTCCATTACTCAAATCATAGAGTGTCATAGATTTTAACAAAAAAACTGTAGTGTTATTTTGATAAAAAAAAATTACTTGTTAGAAAAAGAAAGTAATTAAATTTAAAGTACTTTTTCTAAAATATAAAGGATGAATGGTATTTTAGGTTTTCTTTGTTTTTTTTTTTTTTTTTTTGAATTTTTATTGCTTTAAAACTTTAAAAGCTTTTCATTTCCAAAAAACTATTATTGCATTGAGCATTTTTGTTAAAAACGTTATGGCATTGGCAAATTTTTGTATAATAAAATGAAGTGATGTTATTAAAATTATTGAAAATTAATTATAGAACATTACCTTAAGCATTCTATGAAGAAAATGTCATCGCATTAAACATTTTCTGTGGAAAATTACAACGCATTGACAATTTTACTTTGAAAATTACTCAAAATTTTACAGAAAATATTTCAACGCATTGACCTTTTTCTGTATAAATAATGCTTTGACCATTTTGTAAACAAAATACCATTGCATTGACAACTTTCCTAAAAAATATATAACGCATTGAAAATTTTCTATAAAATCGAAATAGCATTGACCATTTTCTATGGAAATTAAAATTTTAAATAAATAATATTGCATTGGATAATTTCTCTAGAAAATTTAATTGCATTGACAATTTTCTCAGAAAAGAAAAAATTGAATTTAACATTTTCTTTAGAAAATAATATCGCATTTACCAATTTCTATCAAGAACAACATTGCATTGAAAATTTTCTTAATAAAATTACATTTTAATGAAAATTTTCTTCAGAAAATAGCATCGCGTTGAAATTTATCTTTAGAAAATAATATCGAAATTATCGTTTTCTATAGAAACAAACATCACAATGATCCTTCTCTACAGAAAATGTAATCGCATTGATCATTTACATTAGAAAATATCACAGCATTGACCATTTTCTGCCGTAAACAACATCGCATTGAAAATTTCAAATATAAAATAGCATCGCATCTATAGAAAAAAACATTGAATTGAAATTTTTCTATAGAAAATAACATTGCATTGAATATTTTCTTTTGAAAATATCATCGCATTGAATTTTTTCTATAGAAAATAACATCGAACTTATCGTTTTCTATAGAATATAATAATGCATTGACCGTTTTCTATAAAAATGTAATCGCATTGACCATTTTCTCTAGAAAATATCATCGCATTGAGTAATTTCTGCCGAAAACAACATCGCATTGAAAATTTCAAATATAAAATAGCATCACATTGAAATTTTTCTTTAGAAAATAACATTGAATTGAAATGTTTCTTTAGAAAATAATATCGCATTGAATGTTTTCTTCATAAAATATCATCGCATTGAGTTTTTTCTATAGAAAATAACATCGAACTGATCGTTTTCTATAGAATATAACAATGCATTCACCATTTTCTACAAAAATGTAATCGCATATCATTGCATTGCATTGAAAATATTCATTGGAACATAATAATTGAACATTTTCTTTAGAAAATAACATCGCATTGACCTTTTTCGAATGAAACTTCACATTGACTATTTTCTAAAGAAAATAACATCACATTCTTCGTAAAATAATATCGCATATCATATCAATGCATAAAATTTTCAATCTTTCAAAATTAAAAATTTTATTGAAATTTGTATATTCCCTTACTTCACAAAAATTTAACAAAAACATCTTAAATTACTACTCTTTACAGTTATTAATTGAAAATATGTAGCAAAAAAGGTCTAACTTATATGTAGTAATATTTGAATTGGGGTTTCATAATTGTAATTAATTTTTTAAATTAATAAATCATTATAAAATGCAATTATTTAAATTCTCTTAAAACATTCATAATTAATTAATATTTTAACTTTTTTATTTTAGGTTTTCCAGTTTACTAAAAACTCATTGATATACAATACGAACAAAAACCATTTAACACTGAAACAATTATTAATTATTCCTACAAAGAAACAAATCCCCTCCATCATATTATTCCCACAAAAATCCTACAAATCCTTCAAAGCACAAATGCAATTAATTTTTATAATATTTACATTTAATATATTAACTTTAAATTATTAAAACGTTAAGCATAATTTTGCTTTATTTGGCAGTTTAACTGATTATTATTTGTTATTTTTTTTATAAAATTAAATTTATATATTTTTTTTAAATTTTGATAAAAATTTAAGCTGAATTCTGCATTTATTTAAGTTTCTTTTATTAGTTTTTAAGCAAAGTCCAAAACGAGTTCGAATCAAAACTTTTAACTATATGATTAAAATCTTGGGCATCTGGCAACACTATGTACAGATAAACGTATAAAATTTGCCATCTTGATAAAAAAAATAAAATTTATTAAATTTACCAAATATTTCATGCTAAAAATTCACAAATCATACCAGTAAAACTAGTTACATTCGTGGTGTTAATTTTTCCTAAAAAATTCATAAAATTAACTTTTAAAAGACTAAAACAAATCATCCCATGTGCTCAGTTATTGCCTCTTTCCTTTTGTTACCGCTTAACAATAACAAAACAACATAAAAAATTTTTATACATAAAAAAATAAAAAACAATATTCTGCAAGTGCCTATTTTTTATATATTGTTGAAATTATTATAATAAAATTTATTACACGATGTCATATCTTTGTGGTGACTGTAATTTAAGTACCTCCGGATCTCGATGCCTACTTTGTAGATCCTGTGACACTTGGTATCACGCTGAATGTGAAGATATAACTAAAACATTGTTTACCACCTTGGATAAAAACCGCAATCTAGCGTATACCTGCAAAGCGTGTATGGATAACCCGCCTGATAACTCTGATGCAGCATTTAAATCGGAAATTCGAAAAGAATTTACAACTCTCAAGAATTCAATTAGTGACATGAAAGGCGATCAAATTGAAATCAAATCCAAAGTTGATTCAGTCATAAATGAAGTCCGTGCAGAGCTGTCCAACAGCTTAAAGGGTATAAAAGATGAAATTGCAAGCTGCAAAACTCAAATTAATTGTAATGACACCTTATATAAGTCTAAGTTTTATGAACTGGAACTTCAGAACCACGTTCTTCAACATCGTTTAAATAGAGCTGACCTAATTATAACTGGTCTTCCAACAGACTTAACTGACCTCCATTCAATTGTAAAAAACTTGTGCACCCATCTCGAAGTTAACATCGCTGTTGATGACATCCTTAACGTTATGTATATTAAAAAACATGGTGCTATACTTGTTAAATTTTGCCAAATAGCTAAACGCGATAAAGTTATTTCGGAATACTATAAATCGAAATCCCTCAAAGCGTCTGATGTTATAAATGGGGCTGCTGAAACCCGTGTTTATTTAAACGATAATTATTCATCCCTTGCTAAAAAATTACTAAAAATTTGTTGGAAACTGAAAAATGATAAGAAGATAAAGGGTTATAATATAATAAATCGTGAAACTCTTTTTGTGAAGATTACTATGCTTAATGAGGATGTTAAGTCTCTCAATTTTCACGAATGTATTAGCTATTTTAAACTAAATTACCAATAAGTATACCTAAACACCTATATCTTAATCTATTTACTGTATTTTTCCTTTTGTAATGTAAAATACCGTAAGCTTATATTTTTTATTTTTTATATTAAGATGGCTCTTTTCATATTGAAAATGTTTAAAATTACAAATAACTTTTTATATATCACTTTTTGGCTCCCACTAATATATGTGTATTGTCGTGAATGCGATGTCTCTTAATGGTAATCTTGGTCCTATAGCCGGGGATAAATCAATGTTAAACAAATGCCTTTCATCTTCGTCTGAAGTTATGAATATTGGTCATATTAATGCCCAGAGTCTTTGCCCCTCTGCATCCAGCACAAAATTAGATGAATTTAAATGTTTTTTCTACAATAGTCTTCTTGACATCATTGGAGTTTCAGAAACTTGGTTTAAACCTCACTTAATATCCCAATCGTTGACACTTTCCGGTTATAATCTTGTAAGAAATGATCGTATCAGGAATACTACTTCGAATAATAGTGGCCCAACCAGAGGTGGCGGCGTTTGCCTTTACATATCTAATAAACTTCGTTACCGCATACTCTTTCGTGCTGAACAATATGGAGTTTGTGAGTCTTTATTTGTCGAAGTTTTTGGAAATGGAACCTCTGTAATTGTTGGTGTTGTATATTTACCCGGCGGCGACATTAATGCATTTGAAAGTATCCATAATAACTTATTTGATCAATACAATAATATTATTGTTATGGGAGATTTTAACCATAATCTTTTTGATATTGTTAAATCACGCAATTTACGTTCTTTAATTTCTAGATGTGGCCTTCACTGTATACACAATTGCCTACCTACACATATTTTCCCACCTAATAATGCTACTTCTTTGCTAGACTACTTTCTCCTGAGTCAACCATCTTCTGTTGTTTACAAAAACCAGATACAAATTCCATTTTTTTCATCTTACCATAGTTTCATCTTTCTATGCATTAAATTTCCCTCTCAATTACGTAGTACCTGGATTGAATTTAAGGATTACAATCGCCTGAATTTTGAGAACATAAGTGAGTATTTTAGTCAATTTAATACATCTCCTATTTTCAATACTAACAATGTTGATCTTCAATTATCTACCTTAGATAGTTTAATTGAAGGACTTCATAATTTAGTACCAACGACAAAAATTTTATCTAATTCAAATAATTCTAAATGGATGAACTCGAGTGAAATTTTACAAACCAGATCAAAAAGAGATCACGCTTATCGTGCCTATCGTAGAAATCCTAATAGTGTAAATTGGTCTACTTACTGCAAATTACGTAATAAAACTAAATCTGTGATCAGAAAAGCACGTCGGAAATATGGTGAAACTTTGTTCAGTGTAACTGATAATAGTACATTATGGAATAGAATACGTAAAATGGGTATCGTTGATTCGAAAAAATCTGAATGCAATGATTTAGACGTGGAAGAAATAGCTAATGTTTTTTTGGACAATCTCAGGCAGGACAATACCGGAAACCTTGAATTTGACAACTTTGAAGACATTGCCAATTCGTTTTCTTTTATTCCTGTTACAGAATATGACATATTAATCGCTTTAAATTCAATTAAATCTAACTCTACAGGTCATGACAAAATTCCTATTAAATTTATAAAGATAATCTTTCCTCTCATTTCCCCTATACTTTTGTATCTTACAAACACTATTTTCACCTGTTCTAAGTTTCCAACCTCCTGGAAATTAGGCCGAGTCGTACCAATCCCAAAAAACGGAAAATTTGATAAAGAAAACTTACGACCCATAAGCATTTTACCTGCTATGTCCAAAATAATAGAAAATATAATGAAAAAGCAAATATTTGATTATTGTGCACAATATTCTTTAATCCACCCTAGTCAATTTGCATTCCAACGTAATCTCAACTCTACGTCTTTACTATTATCTCTCACCGAATCTATTAGAACCAAATTAGATAGCCAAAGAAATTGTACGTTAATTTCACTAGATCTCAGTAAAGCTTTTGATCGCATAAATCATGCCACTCTTGTAGATAAGCTCAGAAGATACTTTAATTTTTCAAAACCGGCATGTAAATTAATATACTCCTACCTTTCAGGACGGTCGCAGTACGTTTCCTTCAATGGTTATAACTCTAGTATTAGTAATGTAACTTCTGGCGTAGCTCAAGGGTCCGTACTGGGTCCCATATTTTTTCTCACATATTTAAATGACTGTATCTCGCTTTTTAATAACAGCTTTTGCCAATCCTTTATATTTGCTGATGATATATTTTTATTGTTTTCAGATAAGTACGACAATATGGAAAATTTTGAGATAAATTTGAATGTTCACCTTAACTCAATATCTAGTTGGATGTATACAAATAGTCTTGAGATAAATCCAACTAAGACAAAGGCCTTAAGTTTTAATTTAACTAACCGAACTTTTTCATTTCCAAGAATATCTATTAACGGACAGGCAATTTTATTTGTGGAATCTCTCAGATGCCTCGGTGTAATTATTGATTCTAAGTTAAATTTTAATGAACATATCAATTTAATTGCTAATAAAACTTGTCTTATTTTAAGAAGACTTTACTCGTTAAGAGCGTTTACTCCCAAACATGTAAGGAGCCGACTTGCCTTTTCACTTATCATGTCCCGAATTAACTATTGTCTCGAAGTTTTTTCAGCAACGTGGTCTTATAATCTTAATATTATTGAAGCAACTGTTCGAAAGGTAATTCGTTATGTATTTAATTTAAGAGCTCTAGAGCATGATCGTACTTCGATGCTCACTCCAGTATTCTTGAAATGTAGTTTTAATAATTATATTAATCTACGTATTTTACTTTATTTCTACAAGGTTATAAAATCCGGTAAACCAATATCACTTGTAAATCAATTTTCATTCATAAACTCAACACGAAATATTCAAATTTTTATTCCTCTGGGACATCTTTCTGTGTTTGATCGATCTTTTGTAAAAAGAATCCATCATACTTGGAGCTTACTACCCAACCATCTCAAACAATTTTCTTATTCTTCTCATACTTATAAGAAGAAACTCTTAGATTTTTTTAATGAAAATCAGTAGCATGATTAGACATTGTTTTTAACCTACATCAACCTTTGGTTATAGGATTATTATTATTATTTCTTGATATTTAATTTTTGACAATACATACATATATGGCTGGGGAGCCAAATCGACTTTTCTAGTATAGTTATCTGTCTCGCTCATGGTTATTTGTCACGGGCTTGTACAATAAATTTTTACTACAATATTTGTTCTACAAGCTCTGATAAATTCTTATGAATATGACAGTATATATATACCTATATATATATATATCTAATGATTACTGTATCTTATTTTGTATTTATATAAAATTAATTAATCTATTACATAGTTATTAATCTTACAATACATATTTTATTGGCCATGAAGGCTTTCTTTGTATTGATATTAATAAATAAATAAAATAAAAAATAAATAAAATAAAATCTATAGTTATTAAACTTAAATGATATTCAAATAAAAATTTTAAATATAAAACCTTTATAAAATCAGTATAAAGTCAGTTTATTTATTTTATTAACTTTATAATACAATCTTTTTTTCTAAAATATTATTAATTTTGTTCTTGAATTTCTGTTATGTACTTTTTTAAGTTTGACTTTAAACTGTTTATATATATTTTTTACCCCTTTTTCTCTAAATTCCTAAGTGACTTTTTTGAATCTATATGTATTTAGTATATATTATTATTATAAAGAAAATCTCTATGCCTTTGTTATAAAATATCACATATTTTCATAGTTATTATTAACTATATATTTTGTATGTATTGTATATTTTGTAAAATCTTAAACTTAATACTTTTCACTTTAATAACTATTTGTACTATTATTATATATTTTTTTTAATAATTTAATTTTGAAACGCAACTACCAAAGTATTCAAAAACTCATCTTATATTTATATGTATGTGTATGCGCTATAAACGTAATGAATAATCGATATATTAGTTACTAAATATAGATATTTTTTTTTCTTTTGTGTTAAAATACGAAATAATAATTATATAATGATAATTTAGAAATCGTCAAAAAAATATGTCTTACGTTAAATAAATGTTAAAAGTAAAAAATAATATTTAAATGCGTTTTATTATTAAATTATAAAATAAAATTAATCTAAAAAACTGTAGTAGTGGTGGCATTGTGTCAAAAAAAGCTTAGTCGGTTTTATAGTTGAATCTCTTTATCCTATAAGTAAACCTGGCCTCCGGTAGGTTAGTGGTTAGTGTTCTTGTCTGGTAGACCGGAGGTGGTGGGTTCGATTCCCACCTGAGGCACTGGTTAAGGAGCGCACAACAGGCCCGATAGAGGCCTAGGTGTATTTCTTCGGATTTAATGTATGTATATACATTCTCCTTTCAAACTAACTAACTAACTAAATCTTCCTCTAGATATCTGTAGTCATTTTCGAGCTATAAACTTTTAAAGAAAACAATTTGAAGCCTATTTAAAGGAGTAGGTTTGCGTGATAATGGGCGAAAAAGATTCATTTGGAACCTTGTAACTATCCTATGGATGAAGTTTACTCTTGAAGGCTTTTGTAAGTTGCGGGTTATAAGATCGATTCAAAAAGTCGGGCCAATTTGTTTTTGCATCATTATTCCTCATGTTTACCGAATCCGAATTCGATGAGGATATATTACTAAGTAATTCATGATAAGTTTTCATGAGGACGTTCAAAATGTTTTTCTACGCTTATCCGTTTCTTCATTATAAGGGTTCGAAACAGAAATCCCTTTAAAAACCATAGTGGGTGTGGCAGTAGCGGAAAAAGGATCTTTCATCTTTAAGTTGAATTTATAAGATTTCATATTGAGAAAGTTTTTCTTATCCATTTCCTCAATAGAAATTGCTATTAAAAACAAAGTTGTCACGCTTACGGAAAAACACCTTTCGCTTTAAGTTGATTTTGCAGCGAAGATAGTTTTGCTCACATACATTGCCCATCTACATAATTTTCGAGCTCTCGAGATTTTAAAGAAAACTGTTTGCAAAAATACACCTACTAAACGATTTTGTTGTTCATATTTGCCAAAAATTTAAAAAAATCTGTGGAAATCAAGCACAAAATGGTTATTGTACTTTATAGAACTATAGCGACATTTCATAATGTTTTCTGATCCGTATTTAAGGAAAAAATATACACGCTTGGCTTAGAAAATGAACTTACAAATGACTTCCACATCTTAGTAGCCACGCCCACCAAACTGTGTAATAATGGGGTGCAAATATAAACACACTTGACCATATGGGTAAAGATAGGTTTAATCTTATAGTTAAACATATTACCTATTCTATAAATAAAAGTTCTTTGAAATATCTTTAATAGTTTTCGAGTTAAAGGCTTTTAAAGAAAATAGTTTACAAACAACATACAACAAAGTCTTTCCCTTAGGTTTACCATCCGAATTTAATAAAATTATTTATATAGATAGCTCTGAGTGCACTCATTCATATGGCGTCCAAATAGTTTTGACACGTAGTTCAAGAAATCCGCTTAAACCATAGTATGCGGTCAATGATTTCAAGCCACTTTTTATAATTTCTCTTAATCCGAAGTCAAGAAAATTTAACACATAGATAGTCAGAAAATTAGCTTTCAGATGGCATTCAAATCTTTTGCCACGCCCACCAAATTTCAAAATGAATGTTCGTTATTATAAAATTATACTAAATCCTGAAGAGGACATGATATTGGGAGAAGAAAAATGTTTCATTCTAAAGATAACCATTCTAATTATCTTACGGTTAAATTTCGTAAATATTTTTATTTAAAAAATCCACTTCACAATTCCATTAAAAATCAACCTAATTACAACAAAAATAACTTTTCATTGAAAGTTTTTTTTAGAAACTAATTTATTTCTTAAAATAAATGAAACAAATATTTTTTATAATTTTGTTTTTCTTTATTTAAATAAATGCAGTTGTTTTTTTTTTCTTTAATGAATTTTGTATACATTTGCGAATCAATATAATAATTAAATAATTACAAAAAATAAATGTGTGTTTAATGAAATTTTGTTGTTGATTTTTCCATATTTTTTTTGTCAACATTAAATAGAACAGAAAAGATAAAATTAATCAAAATTATCCCCAACAACAAAGATGAATTTCGTATAACAAATAATGATTTAAAAAAACAATAACAGAATTTTTTTTATAAATAAACGATTTTCTTTTAAATTTAAGCTTAAAAAGTAATTTTTGTTTTTCCCATTTTTCTATAAAATACACATAATTTTTTTTTGTTTTTTTTTATGTATAACAATTAACCATAGATCAATAATAGAAAAAAAGTTAGAAAGAGAATGAGAAGAGTTGGTGGAGAGGAGTGGACAAGGCCAAATTAATATCATATACTTTACAGACGAAGACCAGGATTGCGGGAGCGAACAAAGTTCAAAAGTTCATCGGAATCTTCGCATACGAATGGTTTGAGATGATGACAGGCAACATCATGCCATTTAACACCATCATTATAGAAGTTATTGAGTATAGAGAGACAAGATTCATCATTACCCTGGGCAGCTTCACGGTTATCGGGTTGAGCTTGATTGTAACCGCCGGTGTGAGACCAATCGCCAGTGTTGCGCTGAGAGGTGGGACCAATTTTAGCACCTGAACCAGACCAGAACCAACCGTTCTCATTGGGAGGTTGTAAATCGGGACGATCACAGCCAGCGAAATTACACTTGCGACCAGAAGTCCAAATATAACGTACATTACCACGGGCAATACGCTGCTTAACAAATTCATTCTCTTGGGGAGTCTCAAGCGAAACGGCATCCATACAATGACGACGACAAATGTTACGGGCATCCAACCAATCGACTTCTAAACTGCGTGTGGGAGCATGTTCCCAACTGAAGAAGTATGAGTGAGAAACACCGCGAGCATCACGATAGGAGGCATGTCGTACACCTGAGTATTTAAAATTAAAGTTTAATAAAAATTTTAAATATTTTACATTCTTTAAAAAAAAAATTTCATTAAAAAATATTGCCGATATCGAAAGGAAAGTGATTTGAATAATATTATCGAATAATTTACAATTTTATTTAAAAGCGTCTACTTACGATTAGCACAACTTCTAGGATCAGGTAACGCTAAACGTCTTTGAGCCAAAGTAACGGTGGCACCCAAAGCCAGCAACAATATGGTACGTAGCACCGACATGTTTTTTAATTTGTTTTCTTTAAAATAAACTAGAAATAGAACAAAATGTTAAAAACAAAATTAGTTAAATGAAAACAACAACTATTACGTTTGAAATTTCAAAATAAAATGAAAATATTTAAAACATTTTTTTTGCAATACAACTTAAGCCCTTCTTTCTAACAACAGGTGGAGTTGGATGTTGTTATTATTGTTGGTACGGTCATTGGTCTTTTTGTGTGTACTATTTTAAAATGCTGTTGCGCTGTTAACCAGATGACCAGACGCACCCAATAATACGCTTGACTGAGTTAAAAAAAAATAACCCAAAAGTGTAACAGTTTCTATTTACTGTTTATATTATTTGTCATCAGGTTTTTGGGCGAAATTTTTTTTTCAAATTTTCATATAAACAATTATTTAGTTCAAAAATGTTCATCTAAATGTTAGTTTTGTATGATTTTATTATGAAAACTAAAATTAAAATAAATGTATTCTAACGTATTCAATGATTGGAAAATTTTGACATGTTTGCCTTTTTGAAACATATGATTATTTCAAATTGTTGGTTATTGTATTACTAAATGATTTTTATTGCCTTCATTAGTTAAAACAAATAATTAAATTTGTTTTGTGTTTTTTTCTGCATTGTATACGAAATTGTATCACAAAATCTTAATTTATTTTGTTTTGTTTTTATTTAAATTATTTAAACAAATTGTTTTGTAACCAAACGTCATGAACGTGAGAATTACAACGGAATTACTTAAAATGTTTATGTAAAATGACAGTGAATTTGCTAATAACAAAAAAATTAGCCAATTGTAAGTAACTGAGGACGAAATTGTTCAAAAGAAGTATGTTAACCCATAATACATTGCAAAGAGACAACCTGGAATATCATCTGAGTATATAATGTATAGCAAACCTTACTACACACGCAAAAATTGTCTCCACTATAGACTAGACTATAAACTAAACTATTGACTAGACTATAAACTAAACTATAGACTAGACTATAGACTAGACTATAGACTAGACTATAGACTAGACTATAGACTAGACTATAGACTAGACTATAGACTAGACTATAGACTAGACTATAGACTAGACTATAGACTAGACTATAGACTAGACTATAGACTAGACTATAGACTAGACTATAGACTAGACTATAGACTAGACTATAGACTAGACTATAGACTAGACTATAGACTAGACTATAGACTAGACTATAGACTAGACTATAGACTAGACTATAGACTA